CCAGATGGGTAATATTATGTCAAAATTTGCCGAGATAATTGGCTCAGAATGTAGGCAGTTATTGAAAGTGTTGAATAAATTATAAATATTCAAAGTAACAACACGTTCTCATCCTTTTTCCCCAATGTTGCCTTCTTCAAACTAATACTAATAGTACGGCACAGTAGTCACGTCAATGAAAGGCTAAGAAAAAAAAATAATAAATAGAGATAGTTAAGAGATTATTTCAAATAGCAGAAAGTATGTTAGCCGACGCACGGTTTTGTCTTTTACTTTTTGGCTCTTCTCCCCACGACCGCTAGACCTACAGAGAATCCCGCCCGCATAATATCGGCTCACTAGGCAGCGGACGGGGTATGCCAAAAGCTCGATTTATTTTTTCCTTCGATAGATTTTAAACCCTAAGCTATTTTGACAGTCAAAACGTTTGCGTAAGTTTGATTTTTTGTGGATATAATTTGAACATGATTGCTTCTATATGGAAGTGAAAAATGCATGTCATTGTTATTTTTTTAAATATATTATTTATGTGAGCATTTTGCACTTTTATATTTTCATTTATTTTCCCAAGTAGGTAAACTTCAACAGTGTCATATGTTGTCTGCGTTTGCGCATTTTTGTAATAAGGGGAAATCTTTCCTTTGATAAATATTGGAAAATCTGAATCCGAATGCTAAAAAGTATTGAGTATCGACATTCCTCCCGCTGTCTTAATTCTGTCTGACTATGGAATACCACTACCATAGTCTCAAGGCTGGTAGTGGTATTTTCGTAGGTAGGTATTTCTTTTGACCCTCATGGAGTTTGTCAATGTAAGTATTGAAGTGAATGGTTCGACCCAATAAACCAATATAATCTTATAATACTACTTTTTTTATAAATGCACATTTCACTAGAGGAAGAGAAACCTCGAAGTGATTGCCAACGAAAATGAATCACTCAATGACGTGGCCTTAGTTAATGCAGGCGTTACAGAATTGAGTTGAGCTCAGTGTAGTGGATACGCTCTGTTCGAACGTACCGAACGAACGCTCTCATCGTAGTATAGGTATTATTATTATCATCATAATGAGGCGGCGTTTTCATTTGTATCATGTACATTGTTAATTATTTCTTAATTGCGGTAACAATGTTGTATTTAAGGAACAAAATTTCTAATAATTTTAATGGCGGGTCTTTTATCTGGTGAATGCACATCATTGTAGATGCATTCATCTACACTTCCGCCCATTGAAGAATGGAATAGTACTTGTGGGCCTATTTATAGTAAAGGCATCTAGAGTAGTTTGAAGGGCGTTTTCTCTCCTTGGTCCGACGATATCTCTACAAATTACAATTTTGAGGTGAAGCGGGACACGAGGCGGGTGACGCCTGTACCAGACGAAGTAGGCGGTGTCGGGCGACCGCCCTCCGCGGGCCCCGGCCGAACGCTGTGGAAAACGCATGAGCGCGGGGCGCCGTCACACGGACCCAGTAACAAATATACTTCACGAACTACTATCGTCTCTAGTGATAAGGCTTTATCGATAAAATATATTAATAAAGTAAAAAATAAACTCAACAATCATTATTACTTTTTAATTGACACTAAACCTATACAAATCCCAATGACAAGAGGATGGTACTGCATGCATTCCATAGATTAGCGCTCTATGATAATTATTAATGTCTCAATATTTATTATATTATATTTAATGACTCAATTGAGGACCTCTCCACGATCGACCATGATAAGCAATCATTGAGTACCACCATTATTGCGCCGCTTTCCACCATCCCACATTTGTTTATTTCTTTCTGAACCACATATGGACGTCGAAACAATAGCAGCTACCGTTATACATCTATTAATGTTTAGTAGTAAGTTCGACATATGGTTGGTAAATGTTAGTATTGAGAATAAAACTTGGATGTTAAATGTTTTTTGTGAGTAGAACTTAAAATCACCTGAAAAAATTTGACATATTGTGACAGTCACAGCACTGTGTCGTTAATTATTTATACTGGTAAAATTTAACAGACCATACTTATCAAACCAGCAGAATTATAGAAGGAAGATAGTGTTGCCAACTCGGTAACAAGTTCTGGGGCTACATTATTCAAAAAGGATCAGAATTGGTCCATAATTAAAAAAGAGCCAAATTACTATTTTGGATAGATGAGATTTTGATATTAAAGAAACTTTTAAAAATATATATTTTTTTTAAATCTAATAATTCTGAGATTCATAAAATCTGACCGCAATCCTGAGAAGAGTCTAAAAATCTGAGATCTTATAACAAATCTCGATATATGGTAACCCTTCTTAAAATTGAAAACTGAAATTACTTTTAAAATTGCAGATATTTTATTACAGTTTAAAATAAGCCAAGCGGCTCAGAAAAGCTATTGCAAAAAAATTAGGAATGTTTCCGCGGCATAAATAGCGCGTGTCCGCACCATACCGAAAACAAATACGAACGGAGTTGATCGGCGATCGCGTGAACGCGCTCACAATCATGGTCGAACTTCCTTTGACATTCGTCAATAAAATATTCGTCTGAAAAACCTACACAGCGGTGATCGTGTACAATTGTCGTCGATCATATAGGCCCTCTACACTATTGCCCATGATCGACGATCACGGTGTGCAACTAGATTGTAACCATCATTTGTGCCGCCTCACGATTGGCCATCCTATATTTGTTAATTGCCATCTGAATTATATGGACGTCGAAACAAGAATCCAAGTTGTCCTTATGTGGACGCGCGCACGATTATGGACTAACTTCCTTCAATGATTGTTCCAAAAACCGACACACTGGCGATCATGCACGATTATCGCCGATCATAGGCCATTATAGACGATCATACCCTCTACACGATGATGGCCTGTGATCGCCCATCATGGGTACAAATAACCCAGGGCCTATAACCTATAAACTCTAGAAATAATTTGTCTAAACCAAATGTCACTTAACATTATCGAGAGTAGAATGTTGTGTGGACACACTGGAGAATAGTGATATTTGGGTGTAGAGTAAGACCAAACGTTCTCGAGTTCGTCATCCATAACGTTCTTATTACGTTAAAAAAAAGGTGACCCGTTTTGATATATTCCTTAACATAAAAATCCAAATTAGCAATCTTTTAACACAAAAAAGCCATTCAGGAGTTTGCTTCGCTAACTCTTACTTCTTATGATGATCTTTGGCCACCAAATATGAATGTGACTTTTGATTAAAAACAAGTTAAAATTAAATTTAACCATGGTTAATGTAAACGGTGTTGCCTTTAGACTTTTTAGATTGACACTCCATAGGATTGTTGCTAGTAAATACTCTGAACAGAGCAGAAACATTTTTAAGATCTATTAAATTGTTTTTAGTTTAAAGTGACATTAAAGACGGTAATTTATTGATAAGAACATTCATTATAGTTTAGTTTCATTAAACCTTTTTAACGTTTGTGCAACTGCTAAAAGTGCCAAAGTGCATATAAGTTCATACTTTACCAAAGATATGATATCTTATAAACAAGTTGCTCTGCTTACTAATTACCACCTATTTGTTCCCCGAAGATTAAAGAGCCATTTTTGTCAATATAGTATACAGTTTGTTTGCTACTATTAAAATAACCATGAAAATTATACTAATTATTAAATTATTTATTGTATTCCCTCAAATCCTTGTACACCCCAATTAAGAAAATGCATTTATAATCAAACTAGCTGTCCGCGACTTCGCACGTGTAAATTATAGCCTATGTCAACCGCATATGATATAGGTACCTGTAGGTAAAAGAATTTTTAAAATCAGTCGAGTACTTTGGGAGCCTATTCTATGTAAACAACTAACCAAATCTTTCTTTATAATATTAGTATAGAAAAAACGAAAACTAATTTACTTTTATATACTATTTTATTCTTTATGTACGGACACAGTTTACTAATTGCTGAGGAACAGTATGTGCATCTATCTTACAAATCCACAGTGCCGTCAAAATTGCAAATCAAATCAAAAACTAATGCAACTACGATTGTACTATATATATATATATAAATATATATATATATATTTGTCCCGAGTAATCCCGATTTTATGTAATTTAGCACAGATATTTTACTCTTTCCATCTGGCAACCCTTCCTACAGCGCAATTCATCAATGATATAATACCTACCAATAAACGAAATACGATTCTCTTTCGAAGTACAAAGTGCATTTTTACTCAATAATTATGATTCTTACTTACTATGAGTATCGGCTAGATACTCATAGCAAAAATATAGCTACATACGGTTTAATATACCATACCAGTTTGTTTACTACTGTTCAAATAACCATGAAAATGTCAACAATATTATTAATACGCCTATATAAAGTAAGAAAAGAAAATGTATATTCATATTTAGGTTTTAAGTACGATACCTAACCAAAGGAAATAATACACATTTATTGCAATCTTACCTGTATTACCCCTTCTCCTGTCGGCCAGTTAAGCTGGACTAGTATGATAAGGCATTTTCCTTCTATCGGAAATGCTATATTTGGCCCAACTAAGACAAGCTAACGTGGTATATTTTTACTACATTGACTCTGCGAACTTAACGCCGCCCTATATTTAATAAAATTAATATTACCTAATGTATATTACACATTACCTACTGTTTGCATTTTATTATAAGAATGCCTACATCATAAATGCCTACATCACGCCACGAAATATAAAATAAACAATTAATATCTTTTATTCACCTACGTTATTGTAGCAGTTAAGCAAAGTGTGTAGGAAAATTCTTGTTATAGACGCCAAAATACACAAGAACCAGACATGTTTAATTATACCTACCTTAAATACTGAGCGAATAAATCTTTTTTACTTTTTAGTCCTATCGAATTAATTAAATAAAGTCGATACTCTGTAAGATCGATAATGGTGCTTCACTAAAAAGCGTTCGCTCTCCCCGCGGGTCCCGACCCGAGCCACGCCCAGCGCGCGCATTCTCAAACAAAATCCACACGAAATGGATGCACGGAAGATCGAGTGGAGTCGGCGTCGTACGCTTCGTTCAGTCACGCACGTCAGATCTGAGTCGGGCAAGCTCAGTTGAGTAGTTATCTCGATAGCCGACGAACCGTACGCACGGCGCACACGTGCCATTTGTGCTCATCCCTTCTCCACATCGATACCGAGCGTGGCTGCCGCTCGCTCGTCGTCCCATCCATAGAAACCCTGCCAACTCAGGTTGTCGTCGGTGCAGTATCCATCGGCACCTGACCCTACCAAATACCTACCCATATTAAAATACGAAAATAAACACTGCACCCAAAGCAGACACGTGTGCGCTTACAACCAACCGGCCGGTCATCAAGTAATAGTAACATTTTTGTCAACGGTTCGTTACAAAAAGGAAATTAATCATTTGAATTTAAGTAGTGTTTTTAAATTAACATTCCGTACAGTTATACATTACCGTGATAGAAAAAAAGTGTTGTGTATTATTAAATTAAAAAAGTGAAATGTCTAATTCAATGGAGCAGCAGTTTAGCGAACTCAATCTCTCACAAGAGGACCATGATCAAATATTTGAACAAGAAGATCATCAAGATCCGAGGTTAGTAGAACTAGCTAGCTTGATTTAGATAGACAATTTTTTTTAATAAAAGATAATTTAGTTTTTTACAAACGCACTTTAAAAAGTAAAGAAAAAATTACAAAACATTCTGACTCTACATATTTGATTGTCACAAGCCATGCGAGGACTTTTCAATACCTATTCAACTAGGCATCCATTTTATTTAAGACAGCTTTAATGCGTCAGTCAAGTATGGATTTAGAAATTAGGTAGGAACCTACAGCAAACTACTAAGAACTAAATTTACGGTATTACCAAAAATATTACGTTTTATTTAAACCCTCCTATGTACCTAATAGTTGATATTATTTGTAGAAATAATTACCTTTGAGGTGTATTCTTTGTTCATTTTAAATGGTCGCCACCAGTCCTGCTTTCCTACGACTTGTCCTTATTTTTATTGTCATCTATATACTGGATAGTTTTTTTAAGTTTAGTCAAGTATTTTAAATTGTCGCGGCGCTTTCCAGATTTTCATTGTTTAGGGTCTGTTCAACGGATAGAGTCGGCAATCCTTATTTAAAAAAAATGTAATAATGCATGCATAATACTTATCAACACGAGATCTTTCAATTAATATAATTAAATATGTTATTTTATTTAACTATTTTAATATAACTAATTACAAAATTATAGCCATACTTCGCGGTAGGCCTTGTGGTGCGGATCTAGCACGTAAATAACTTATTATACCTACATCGATTTCCTTTAAGTAGAATTGAATCAAAATGCACTGAAAAATTTAGATTTTGAAAAAGAGAGAGAGAGAACGCTCACGGGCAAGATTTCTCAGACCAATTCGGACCAGTGTTAGTTAGCACGAGTGCCTTCGGCTTTAGACGCGCATCTGTAACCTGTTTTTTATACAATCCCAGACTCTTTTAATAATTTAATGAATGGTTACTTAACTTCCACATTAAATGGTAAATTGTCTGTTTTTTAAGTAACCAGATGTTTCAGAGAGCTAAGTAGGTATTTTCTTGTATTCCCTAGTTGTGCAATATATTAACATGAAATGTGTAAAGTGACTTTTGCTGGAGTATTGCTAGATTTTTGGAAGAAAATTAATTGAGCCACCAAATACAATGTATGTCGAATACGTAATTCTTTTTGTGTAGATATTGTTTCGTGTGTCATTCGTCGTGTGATTTACACAGAGTTGCACAATGTTCATTAAAATTGTAATTAGTGTAAAGCGTCATTACCGATACAAATATAGAACACTAGCATTCGCTAGCGGCTTCGCCCGCGTGGTCTCTAGGGAAATGTATAGTGGGATAAAAAGTATCCTATTATTATCTAAGTCAGCTTATACCATAATTCATCAAAATCCGTTCATTAGTTTCGGCGTGATTGACCGACAAACATCCAAACAAAGAAACTTTCACATTTATAATATTAATAGGATATATAGATTACTATTTAGTTTCATACTATCAGAACAAAATTAAATTGTTGAAGGTAGCGTAGGGCAATAATATTAAAAAAGACAATAGGTCGTAGTCATCACTATTTTTTTGGGGACAAATAACGTGGCGTTACACACTTTTATGCTTAAAGTTGACAATTCCATTAAATGGTCATTATTAATTGGATAATACAACAACATAAATAACCTGCTAGCACAGTGAAAACTAGGAAAATCATTTTATCCAAATTATTGACAATAGGGATGACAACTAATGTTTGTTTGTCGGTAAGGTAGAACAATGAAGAATATTAAAATACGTGTTATTTTTTTGCGTAATCAATTAATTAAGACGATAAAGTTGAAATGTCGCATGACGTCCGCTTTTGTGTGGAATGTCGTTTGTATGGAATTGTACAAATACAATTTCTTAAAAACTGACCTAGCGAACCTTATTTACCTTAATGTCTATTAACTAAGCCATTTCTTGTTTAAATTGAAACAAAAAAAAAACAACGTATCAAATATTTTTCTATCATGTGACTGACGGACTAAATTGAATTTCTCTTTTATTTCACCCAATTGTCACTATTAAAAAAGTCGGGTAACAAACTTTTTTTTTTATTTAGTATTTAGTAATAGCAAAAATTGTTGCAAATTACGGCACTTTATTAAACATTCATTCAGGACAAAGCGGCGGGGCGTTAATAGTATTAATGTGTAATACCATTAATGCCGCACCGCTTCGTCCTTAATGAACTCTTTACGTGGGGTCAATATCAAAGTCAATCCAGTAAGCCGGTCCAGTAAAATTGGAAATCTTCCTAATAGGTTGGGGGAAAAGTTTCTTCGCATTTTATATGAAAATTGTAAACATTTTGTTCCATAACTTTTTACCATCTTGTAGGAAGAGATATGATCCCATTGCTATATAAATTGTGAGGCTTCTGATCAAAAAACCGGGACATGTGGTTTTGGCAGACCTCGCATGATGTTAACTGGACACTGGCTAAAAAATTCTGAAGATACCCAAACAGATGGAATTCTGAAGGGTCAAGATTATACGGCGGATGCATTAACACCTAGCAAAATTCTTGATTTTTGCTAAGTGGCAAAAGATGTGTGAGATTTTGCGTTATTATGGTGAAAAACCACACCCCTTCTAATGATTAATTCTGGCCGCTTTCTCTCAACTCTTACTTTAATCTCATCAGTTGTTCGCAGTAGATTTCAGAATCGATAGTCCTGCTTGGCAATGACAGCTCATAATGAACAATGCCCTTCTAAATCTCATCATACACACCTTGTTGCGAGTTAACCCTGGTTTCGTTACTTTTTTGTCTACCCAGCGCCAGAACTATTTTGTGGTCAATTACCAGTTCTTCAGCTACGTCGTAACTACTAATATCCGATCTTGCTTCACTTTTTTTAAAATGGCATCAATTTTATCCGTGACATGCGTATTTGACATAAAAATTTCCGGACTGAAAACGCTTAAACCAAATTTGTGCCTCTCTCACTGAAACTACACTAGGTTCATAAACGTCGCAATTTTTTTTAGCGCCTTGCGTTGCATTTTCACCTTTCTTATAATAAAATTTTAAAATGTATCTAATTTCTACATTAATTTTGACAGTAAGAAAAACAAATAAAATTTTCTTATTTTCCTAATTTGAATTCGGAGTTGTTCTTCTTTTAAATTAAACTTTTTAATGATACCGAAACCAACCAGATACGAAAGGTATAGCCAGAAAGATTTAATTATAAGTTAGTGCAGACTATATGCGAAGACTTTTTCCCCAACCTAATATTTCATTTGATTGCATTGATTGAGATGGTCTTCATTTACACTAGGCTAATACTGGCCTGGGTTGCTAGACTTACAACGCACTGCGCGCTCCGCAAACACCAATAAAAGCACAAAAAAAGGCGTATAGGCAAACATAAAAATATTTAGTCTGACACAACCTAAAAAGCCCGTTTTCACAAACCTAGAAAAAGGTTTAACTTTACTATGAAACGCCTTATCTTACGAATGACTTAAGCAGATTAGCTATAAGCAGATATAGCTCCTATCTTAACCAAAGTAACGAATCCCAGTGGAACAAAAAGTTACACTAATATTTTGATTTTGGTCTATGATTGAACAGACTAAATCTTGTTGGTCTGCTGGGAATAATTTGTTTGTAAGCCTGACAGAACGTCAAAGAGTATTGAAATGAAATTCGAAAATCTTTATTCAAGTAAGCTTGTTTCAAGCACTTTAGAACCTTACAAAAAAAATCCCCTACCACTCGTTCAGGACGTCTTTTAGCTGACAAGAAGAACAAGCGAAAGAAATTTACCAGCTGTTTATTTTTCATAAGAATGCCATTTACATAAATCAAGTTATTACCATAATAGTGCGTATTATAACAATAATAAATACAATTTTCAAAGTCTGTAGGACACATAGGTTGGTATATATAATTAGTCGTTATAGAACAGAGCGAAGGCTATTAATTCCATGTATTGCGGTCCTTAAAATAATCATCAAGTTTATAATAAACCTTTACCCATAAGTATGTTTGTTACATTAATTTTAAATTTATTCATGGGTAGGTCAATAAAATTTTGTAGAACTTTATTAAACATAGCAATGCATTTACGCAGAAATGATCCTCTGATTTTTATAAGTCTGAAGCTTGGAACGGCAAGTTTATTTTTATTTCTTGTGTTAAGATTATGAACACTACTTTTTTGTCAAGAAATCGTAATGTTTTCTTGCGTACATAATATTTTCATAGACGTATTGACTTTATTTCTCCGAGAGATTCCCTAGACCGTCAATTATATATAGCACGGACGGCTCTCTTTTGTAGAGTAAAAATATCTTGATTGCTAGCCGCAGAACTCCACATCACACTATGAAAATAACTAAAATATACCAATATTCCTGTTTCAACATTTGTCAAGAGTCTAATTTTCTTAACAGCAAAAGGTGCAGAACTCATTCTACTTGACAAGTTATATCGAAATGATCCCATTGCAGTCGGGAATCTATTGTAATACTAAGGAACTTTGTCGATTCTACCAACAACTTTTTCACTATTTAAATTTATAAGTGTACTAACATGCCTCACGTTAGGTATAAAAACTTTATGCATTTCGTTTTATTTGAATTGAGTTTTACATGATTATTATCAAACATTGAGTAGAACATTGTCGAGAACATCAATAATATCGTCAAAACAATCATTACCCCTCTAACTTTAAACACTAAGGATGTCATTTGCAAATAATACTGTCTTGCACAAATTCTTCGTAAAGTAAGGCAGAACATTAATATAAATTAGAAAAAGCAATGGTCCTAATACCGATCCCTGAGGTACGCCCATAGTTATGGGTGCCCCTGTAGCTTTCGCTTCTTTGATTACTACTTTTTGAATGCTAGCAGAAAGATATGATTTTATTAAATTAAGTGAAATTCACGACACACCATGATGCTCTAATTTCCGAACAGTGTTTCATGACTAAAGCAGACAAAGGCTTTCGACAGCAATGTTATCTTTTTACTCTCCCAAGCATTATA